TGGGCCAAATCCATTTGCTGAAACTAATGGAGCAATATTAGATGATGAAATTGGTGTTGGTTTTGCTTCCAACTTGGAAACCTAATTTTAGGAAAGAGCAATAGAACTGGTGATTAATAAATGACTTAAAATTTAGTTAAATGATTACTTTAGGCTTATAGAGCTGTGAGGAAGAACTGGCTTACAGATTTTTGCACTGGAACTGGAACCAGTGTTCAGAATCAAACATTCTCAGATTCAGGTTGGAATCTAAACAGAAGCCAAAGTATAAGGTCAAAGGTAGGTAATGGTGCCAGGAATTCAACCAAAGGTGAACTTGGAGCCAGATCTGCAGCAGGAAAATAATAAACAAAATGGACTTTCATAGACTCATGGAAGGTTCCAATAAGGCTATCAGATTCAACCGTTTGCTCAATTCAACTGGAATCTGGCTTCTTGTAAAGTGACCCCAGAAGTCGATGTTCTGCACTCTGGGATGATCAAGAAGAGATCCTGGCCCTCCTCTGTGTAAAACCTTTCAAATAATTGAAGAGTGCGCTCATATCCCCCCCCCCCCCCCGCAGTCTTCTTAAGGCTAAACATGCCCAGTTCTTCCTCTTCATAGTGCTTTGTTTCCTCTACTGCTCTCCCCTGAACCTAGTACTTCACAGGATTTGTAGTAATACTTCTATTAATGGAGTATAAAATAGCATTTGCCCTTTTTCTTGCAACCACCTCATACTGTTGACTTGTATTAAACAATACCAAGATGGTTCTCACTTGATATCCATCTCCTGCACCTCCTCATTCAAATAATTAAAAAATGAAGTGTACTGGGCCCAGGAATGGACTCTGCAGTACCCCACTCATTACCTGTTCACAGTTTAAGAAGGTGTCACTGATAAGCACTGAGTTTGAGTCTGTAGCCAACTGAGGATCTACCTGATAGTTGTTCCATCAATCCCAATTTTAGCTAGTTTGCCAGTCAGGTTCTCACTGGGCACTTTGTCAAAAGCTTTGCTGAAGTTAAGCTATATTCTGCACACAGCATTCTCACAGTCCACCATGGAGGATACCCGATCAAAATATGAGGCCAGATTAGTCTGGCAGGATTTGTTTTGACAAATCCATGTTGGATTCTAGTCATCTCTGCACCATTTTAAAGGTGTTATCTGCTCAATTTTCCCAGAGTTTGCTGTCTGCTCTGCAGTTCTCAAGTTCTTCCTGTTTTCCCTTTTTGAAGACAGGGACATTAGCTCTTCTCCAGTCATCTGCCAATTCACCCATCTTCCACAATTTCTCAAAAATAACAAGACAGCAGTTCTGAGAGTTCTTCTGCTACTTCCTTTGTCACTCAATGATGCAGTTCATCTCAATCCTGCCCCTTCATCTTATACTTAATCTTTTCCAAGGATGCATTAGATCCATTTTTGGAGAAAAATACAGTCAAAGGAATTTCTTTATCATTTGTCATCATTCTGCCATCTTCGCTGGGTAGCTGAATCAGCATTTTCATCTGTATTTTACTAGGCATGTATCTGAACAAGCTCTTTTTTTCAGTATCCCTCACTAACCTCAGCTCATTCTCCGCTTTATACTTTCTAACACCATTCCTGGAGAAAGCGGCTGAAGAATGAGCATAACCCAGGTCAAGTCTGAGAGAGCCACCACTGCCATCATAGGTAGCAAACATATCAAGTGGCCATTGATTAGGCTATAATATCTAATTGTTATTTAGGCACCTCTTGCTTCCAGTCTGGTCTTTAGATACTCAGTTGCAGTCAATAAAAAACAAGGCTAAAATTAGTGGTCAGTAACATAAGAATTGCTTTGTAGAACAATAATGAGAAAGGTTAGACATCAGTTGGAAGTCTCCAACTTTAGTCTAACAAGTACAATTATTCCAATGGGTCTGCTTTAAATAGGGCCAAATTTGAATCGTAGCTGGCATGTCCTCAATAATTGTACTATTTCTCTGCTCTAATGCCTTCCACCTAGGTCTGTAAAAAGTCCCGGGGGGGGGGGGGTGCACAGAAATTTGTTAGAAAGCCATCAACTGAAAAAAGTGTTAAGAGTCCCTCTCCCTCCTGATGGGAAATTTGAGATGATGGAAATGCAGGAACCATGCCTGAGTGTTTTCAGTAAAAATAATCGTTTTGTAGCTGGGAAGAATAACATGACTCAGGATGCTATGTCTAGTTGAGATAACGGTATAAAAACTGCAAGTTGCTATTGCTGCATCATAAACTGGTCCTCTCCAATTATCTAAAGTCCAACAACATATTATCTCACTGAATACATACCTTGAGCCAATTATTGTCATTACTGATGTACTAAATATTTAGTCTTCAATTATAGTCATGTCCAAGTAGTAGTATCCTTTTAGGAACAGCAAAGAGCCAGGAAAATGAATTCTAGGAGGAAGATTTTTTTTTTAATATAATCATTTCCCTCTCACCCCCACCCTTTTGTTTTGAGATTAGCAAACATGAATTCAAGGTTACAGCACTATGATAATATGTGTCCCAATAATGAAGACAATAGTAAGATCTTATAATTTTGAATGATTTTGAAGCAACTTCTATACCTCCTAACAGTTCAGGTATGGAGAACCCAAATACATTAGATGGGGGAGAGGATAAACTATTGCAAATGGTTCAGTTTCAGGTTATAGGGATGGACAAAGATTTATCTCCAAGGAGAAGAATCTTTTGGACACATTCTCTGTTTTATCTTCCCAATCTCAAAGTGAAATTATAAAGAGGTTAAAGAACTTGACAGAAGTTCTGCATTCTCAAAAGAATGCAATTCTGGATCCAAATGATAGCAGAATGTGGATGTAATTAGAAAGAGATAAGGAAGACAAAGTATTAATAGAAGTCAAGCAAAGTGGAGAAGGGATGAGAACTTCAGTGTGTGTAATAATTTGGAAAGGAAATCCCCTTGATGAGATAATATAATTATCCGTCCAACTGACTTATTATCAATCCAATCCAGATGATAAGACATTTCACACATTAAAGGCAGTAGAACTTTCTGGCATGAGGGGGCAGGGGCTTTGCAGGTCATGAGTTCCATCAGTGACCATTGTATATCAGCAGCAATCTCAATCCTACTCCGACTTCAATGCTGTGATTAAAGATATAGTGGGGTTAGTGCTAGAACAGGAAGCCAAGGATCTGGCATCATAACAGAGCCAGAAGCAATAAATTGTATAAAAGTTCTGAAGATGGGAAAATCCTTAGGGCCCAACATTATATGAACAGAATTGCTGAAGAATAGTGAATGGTAGGGAACATCCCTGTCATTCTTATTCTTCCATACAGATAAATCAGGTCCAAGTCCATTAAGTTGGACTGAAGCAGTAATTACTCCAATTCATAAGAAAGTTAGTAAGATAGGACCAGCAAACAATCATGCCTTTTATCCTTAACTGGAGAGTAAAATGCTATAGGTCTGTGCACAAGTACTTTTCTATATTTTGTTTGGATATGGTGCCACCAGGAATTTTATTCTGATCTTATTAAGAGATGCTTGTAGGATGGTGCCTACATAATTATATCACTTGTTCAGTACACAGCCCACCTAAATACCAGTTATACCTGATCATTGTCTGAAGCCACATGAAGCAGTCACTTTGCTGAAACTAAACAGGTTTGGGTCTGGTCAGGGTTTGAAGGATAGACTACCTCAGAACTGCCTGTATTCACTTTGAATTCTATGGTGGGAAAAGGTGGAATAGAAATGTAATAAACAATAGTTCTTATATTCTCCCAGAGAACACAAAAGACCATAGCCTTTTAATCACTTATCAGACTCCCATGCCAGCCACATTTAGAAAACTGTATCATCAGTCTGTAGAAACCAGTCATTGTCCAAGATAGCAGTACCACACTGTCCACATATAGTAATATTTGGGTTTTTTCCCCATCATAATTTTGGCGATCTGGCCAATATAAACTGAAAGTCAGATCTCACACATGCACACACAAAACAACAACAGTGATGGTAGCACACACCATTCTCATCCAGAGCTGCTTTTCAATAAACTTCCTGTTGACCTACAGAAAGTATTGATGAATAATTTTTAATCAGAAAAAAACATTATTTTATCTGTAAAACTGCTTCCATTTGTTTCCATGACCACTTTCTTCTTCATGTGAAGCATTTTTCCTGCAGCTTTACTGAGGCTGCTTCTTTCATGTTTATTTCAAGGGGAAGAATGTGCTCTTTTCATATCCCCTCCCCCGGGGTTTAATTTATCTGCCTCCTTTGTGTCTTATTACACACCCACATGGTGGTAGTGCAGTATAGCACAATTGCAAAAAATGCACAGCCATTTTCTAGTGGTACCATAGGAGCTAATACTGCACTTTCCTCCCTCTAAAAAAAGACATCTTGAAAATGTCTGAGGAAAAGGGGGAGAGGTCCTGGAGTATGACAATAAAGGGGCTTCACAAACTTCATGAGTGACAGACCATGAATGCACAATGAATGCCTTGTGTAGGGAAGCCCATAATTTCCTCTCGAGAAGTTTTAAATATTTCTCTGGGAAATGATGCAGGGAAATGATAATTCATATTCCATGATCCTTTATCCAGCAACCCTTTTTAAAGTGCAGCTGCTCTGCGCTGACACCATTCATTGATTCTCCTGCTCATTCTCAATCCAATCCATTAATTTGACTTTCAGACTGTAATGATTTAAAGTGTTAGGGGTATGATCCTTTAAATCTTGGTAAGTTTCAGAAGGGCAAGAGGGGTAAAAGAAGACTGAGACTGTGTGGGTGGCACTTAGAATTGTGGAAGGAAGGAATGTAAAGAGGCAGCCTTCTCATTAGACTCCCATATAATGCTGTGAAAGGCACTTAAGGGGCAAGAGGAAAGGGAAAGAAGTAGAATACTTAGAGCACATATTAGCAACTAGGGAGTCAAAGCCTGACTGGTCAAAGTACATTCAGCAGAGAAAGGATCTGTGAGTGAGGAGTATTTGGGAAGGGAAAAAACAAAATACCTCAGTCAGAAGTTATTAAACATTGTTTTATTCATTAAGGAAATAAGTTACTGAACATCTTGAAACCAATATGCCTGTGGTACAAATAAAGTTTTGTTTTGTTTATTGTTAACTCAAGGCACTGGCTGTTTGAATACAGGTGTCACATCCTCAGGACCACATAGTTCAATGAAGGAACTTACAGCTTTGGCACAATACAGTGGGAGAGTGCAGGAAACAAAAAGATCTTAACAGTACATATTGCAGTGCCTATATCAGCTACTTCCATTTGCACACACTAAAGGGTACAACCATCTTCTTTGAGTCCTCAAGGGTATAAAGCCAAGGTAATAACAAAACTATTTTATGGCATCTGTTGCTCATGCCTATGAAGTGGGAAAGAAAGTAAAGTCAATATAGATTCTCAAAGAATATGCTGATGTGTGAAAAGCATTAAGTTTTGGAGTTGGAGTTCTTACCAGACACTCAGTTTTGAGGTCCACTTATGCATGTGTCCAATGCCTACAAGATAGTTGGCACCTGTGTTGACAGATACTTGTCTTTGGCTGAAATTAAAAAAATAATGCCAATCTGATTGGATTGTCGTTAATTCAGTATTATATGATTTTACAGAAGCTAAACAAATGAACAAACTCATTACTGAATACTCATTACTGAATATCAGTTTTTAGGAGGAACAATAAAAGGCAAATTGTATTTGTTCACCATTAACAAAGGGCACAGAGCCAAGGTCAGTGTGTCAGCCAACTACTTCCATGTTCTGTTTATATTAAACATAGGAAGGTTTGCACAGCAGTTCATTTTAATTCAGCAGGTCATAACCAATCAATTAAGGAAGGCTCACCTAAATTTAAAAAAAGTCTTTAGCAGCCACCAAAAACAAAGTGTCAGAGCCTGCCTGGCATCAAAATACAGAAAGTTTCAAAGAGAGTGAGCTATTGCACTGAAGGCTTTACTCTGTGTAAACACCAAATGAACCACAGGTCTGTGCAGAACCACCAGGTATGCCTTATCTGATGACCTCAGTGACTGGACAGGCTCTCAGATATCCTGGTCCAAAGTTGTTTAAGTTTTGATACCAGTAACAAACTCTCAAACCTGGCTCAGTAGCAGATAGGCAAAAGTCCCTGTCTGCAAAGGAGCTACATGCTGAAAAGGAACAGCTTCCAACAACAGCTGAGCTTCTGCATCCTGCACCAGCTGAAGCTTCTAGAACAATTTTAAGGTAGCCCTACATAAAGTGCATTCTGGTACTCCATTCTTGGGGCTACTAGTACTACTATCACTATCCAGGAATAATCGTTGCTGGCATACCAGTGAAAGACAGTAACAGGCATTCCAAGCTCCATGGTCACTTGGTACTCCAACAACAGAGGTGAATCTTGGGTTATCCCTGGCCTACAAGCCTAATATTCACAGAAACCAAGGAGCTCCACAGTAACAGAAGCTGTAACTCTTCTAAACTTCCAGAAAAAAATGGGGCTCAAAGCTATGGAACAGCAACAGTTAAATACTGCAGAAAAAAATACAAAGTATTTGTTCACTTACATTCCTTGCTAGGGGCACAAGTTGATACTTGCTCTGAATATAGTTATCATGTGGCCCCTTTCAGCAACAGGAATCAGTAAAAAAACAAGAATGGCATTTGACTGTGACATGGAATCAGACACTTCACTAGCAGTTCTTCACAGTAACTGTAGGGATAAATAGAGCAAAGGCTACAACTGTATGTATGCTTACTAGGGAGTCAGTCTTGTTATATTCAGGCCACACTTCAGAAAAAAATGTGTGGAATGAGGTGGCAAATTTATTTACATGTGAAAGAGAAATGTCCACAGTTGGACAATAAAGCTGTTAGCTAGCAGAATGGAATAAATCACTTCTGAAGGGCACTAAAAGGTGTTGCTATTTTCTTCTTCTTATAGATAGGTGCTAGATAATGTGCCTATGTGCATTTGCTTCTCTTCGTAGCATCATTGTCCGTAGTAAAGTGGTTGGTGAATGTTTACATTGCTGTGTGAAATTAATGTTTTTGCCAGCTTTATGAGCATTTTCTCCTTCTTCTGTGTGGTGAGCAGATCACACTGCATTCTTGTCTTGTAGCCCATCCTACTCAATTCCAATCCAATTCCTGCTTTCTTTTTCCTAATCCTTCTTTGTTCTGCTGGGACAAATATATTTTCTTATTTGAAATTAAGAGTGTGCCTATGAAATTCCAGAGTAAGACATCAAGACAGTTTGTAACTGTGCAAAGCTGACTAATGTTTTCACAATAATTATGCTAGGAGTTGATTAATGCAAATGAAAGCCTTTGAGCCCTACAGTCAATTTTTATTTTGACAGAAGAATGAATTTAATATTCACATGATGGGATAAGTTTAGTGCAGAAAATTAAAGTTTATTTCATGTAAATGGCACAACTGAGCCAAAGTTAAACATTTTTAGCTACTATTGCACTCCCTTGTGGATGTGCAGTACAAGCCTAAGCATGTCGACACAGAAGGCACTGTGCTCAATGGAAATTGCTCCCTAGTAAATGTGATAGGATTGCTGCATTAAGTATTTGCTTAACTCCTCTGTTAAATGAAATGAATGAGTCATATGCCCTTCACCCCACATGCTCATGGCTTATCAATGGAAGAGGAAAGAGGCAATTCCTACAGCAGATTCTGAAGGTGCAGGTGGTCAAGAGCAATGAGTTGAAAGACCCACTGCATGAATGGAAAGTCAACTAGTGTGATATTGGATTTGGCCCCAAAACAATGATAAAACAATTCTGACTGATTCGTATTGATAATGTATTAGAACAATTTTGGATTAAATCAAAACCATTTTGCCTCTTTCCTGGAAAAAGGAACTTTTCTCTCACTGCCTAGTGATCTCTAGCATCTTCCTTATTGCAAATAGCCACATTACAAACTTCATATCCAAAACACATCCTGGCTTCTCCAAAGGGATGTGAGCCCACCCCTTTCCTACTGTTTCATCAGAGAAATCTATATGCAGACTTCTAAAATTCACAACGGATAGATCCAAGGACCCCCACCCCAAATCTTGCAATCCAGTTTGAACTTCCCAGAGTTAGTGGTCAGTATGGTGCTTTGTATTCGCCAGCTGAGCCTTTCCACATAATTAAATCATAAGAAAATATTCCACACAATTAACCACCATGACAAGCCATGAAGCGGCTTCCTTTCCCAGGGCACAACAGCCGAAGCGCCTCCCGGTTCCGTCTGGCCCCCCCGCCTCTTACAGCACAGCGCGGAAAGAAGTGCATACTGGGAAAAGACATCTCTCCCTTCAAACAAGGCTTCCGCCTTTTCGTTTCACCAACCGTCCCGCTCGCGCACGCTCTACGCCACGTGCGTCTTGACGTCATGCGGGTCAGGCCTCCCACGGTATCCCAGAAGGCCAATCGGAGGGCGCGAAGTTGCGACGTTGGCACGGTCTTCGCGCGAGGGCCTCCTTGAACTTTGACCCTAGGGCCGAGCGCGAGGCTCTTCGGCCCTCGTCCATTCGTGTGCGAGAGAAGCCCTTCGTTCCTGCATCCTTCCCTCTCGCTGCCGCGCGAGTGCCAGTCGCTGGCGATGATACGGACCTCCGCACGGCTCGCGCGCTGATCCTCCCCTCACTGTGTTCCACCCTCGCCTCGAGGAAAGCCGTGCGCGGAACCGTCGCCGCCGAGTAGGCGCTGCCGCGAACGCTCGCCCGTCAGCGCGCTCTCCTCCCGCTCCCGCTCCCGCTCCCGCACACAGCACTGGGCGACGTGGAGCCGGTGAGACGTGGCCCTCTCCGGGACCAGCAACATGGCGAGTGCCTCGTACCACATCTCCAACCTGCTGGAGAAAATGACGTCGAGTGACAAGGACTTCAGGTAAGAGGCCGATGCCGGCCCTTGGGGTCGCTTCTTCTCCACCTCTGATGAAGGGCCCTTTGCATCCTTTTCAGTCACCTTGTTGGGGTACCTTTTGGTTTGCCTCTGGTAGGGTAATGCCGCTGAACTCCCGCCCAACCTGTCCTTCGCTTGGGGTGAGGACCATCGGCAGGAGATGTGAGGCCTCACTAAAGGTTTGTGTTCTGCCCGAGCCCTGTAAAACTGCGAGTCTAATTCAGGCCCTAGCTGGGCATTTATTCTGAACATCTGTCTGTCGTATTCTGAAAGTTGTGTGGAAGTTTGTGTTCTCTCCACTACACTAAATGAATTCTCAGTTTTTCTTGTACTTTGGCGTGAAAAACGAACTTCTGTCTCTTGCAGATGCTATTTACGACATAATCCAAAACATGTTTATTGGAACATAAGAACCAGTGCCTGCACGTGGGCTTAGTTCCTGGTTCAGAGTTGAAGCTAGATGATCTGCATTTTTAAATGCATTTTAAAGGATGTTTAAAGTGAAATCCTTCAACCCGTGTAAAAAGCATGGGCAGTGGAGGAGTTGTTATTTGGGGCCAGTTCTGTTTGCTGCTCACCATCATTCCAGTTACACTTCTTTTGGGAGATTTGCTCATAGTATAGGATTTTTCTCATGGCAACTAGAATCAGTAGGTACTGTGTTAGGTTTTCAATTATTGAAATCCTAGCATAGAATCTTTTTCAAACTTTGATCTGATAAAGAAATTTAAATGGCATGGTTTTGAGCATAAATTAAATGGGTTTTTTATATTTGTTCAGAATATTATGATTAGAATGAAATATAATAAGGCTGTTTTCATGGGAGGAAATCTGATTAAACTCAGTTATGTTTAATTAAATATGTAAAGGGTTCAGTTGTAAATATATGTGATGTATAAGAATAGGCATATCTCAAAGCAGACTCATTTTAACATTTAATGTGAGAAGTATTTTCTTTTGTACCACAAAAACTGATAAATGCTGTGGATTCATAGTCTTGTCTTGATATTACTGAAATAAAACAAAAGTTTCCCTTCATCCAGCATCAGCGGGGTAAATTAATACTGTGATATAAACAAAATTCATTTTTATCCACAAAATCCAAAATGGGCATACAATAGAGGTGTTGAAAATTTGTTACAAAAAGTTTCAGTGTAATGTTTCTTTTGAAAAGAAAGTTACATATTTGCACTAACTTTTCCTTTAGAATTTCTGTTCATTAAAATATGATATTAAATGTAGCGCAAGGGCAGTTCATTCTCCATAACATTACTAAAGAGAATATGCATGGATGTACAAAGTAGTATGTCTTGATCATTATATGTGAATTTCTTTTGTGGGTACAGGCACCAAAAGGTATGAATGTATATGCATGTTGCATACTATTTCCGACATTAAAGTGGATTTGGTATGAGAATGCGTCTTGTTTCATGCACGTCTAAGTAAAATCATTTAGAAACTTCTCTTAATTAGTGTGGTCAATGAACAACAGGGAATTTATGCTGGAGCGAAGTTGGACTGAGGGAGTGCAGTATTCAATACTCTATTCTTGTTCCCTTAACCAAGGGAAATGTTTTGGGAAAACTACATTTGTACCAACCCAGTGAAGCCATTTACATATGAAATCTTCGTACCAGTCTAATACTTCGGCTATCTCAATAGGGGCTGATTCATTCATGATGATATATAACAAGTATAAGCACTTCCAGAAAAAGAATCTCCTGATTCAGTTTCCCTGGTTAGATATTCCAGTGGTCTTTAAATCCTTCAAAGATTTAAAAGTCTTTAAAGTTTGTCTTTTACTGGCTTCCTTTCTCATGCAGGAGCCATGTTTGTACCTGGATGGCAACTCAAGTTTGAAGCCAATTTGTACACCTTGGTTAAAGTACACTATGGTTAGCTTTAGCATTAATGCAGAAATAATCTGTAATTAATTTGCATGAAATGTAACTTATAGCGTATTCCTGATATACATTTACGTATTAAAGTGGCAAAGGAGTGCCCCTTTGGTTGAGTTAAAATATCAAGCAATTTGTCTATACAGTGTCATTCATTATGAGCCCTAAAATTCTGTTTCTTACAAAAATGACACCTGTTAGGCCAATCACTTGATCTTTGGAGTCTGTGATCTAGCTAATGAAGTCTATATTGATTGAAAATTTCAAGTGTGAAAAAATTGCAACAGGTGCAGCAAGCACCATTTGTCTTTTTTACTGTACTTCAGTCTGCTATATGACATCATATCTTGCACATTTTTGTGGTTTTACTGATATACTGGATTCAGACTTTTCAAGGAAGTGATGCTTTTTCATTTGTTTGGTGACATGCTGAGCAAAAATTATTAAAGTTTCTTTGTCCTGCTAGAATGCTGGCAGTAATACTGCTGCTGGTGCCTCAATCTGGACTGAGCTCTTCATTCTTCATTCCCAAAAAGTATACAGTTACAATGTAAGTTGCAGGTTTAGGATGAAGGGTTGAAGTCCTCTATTTTCACTTTGTATATTAGGTCACATACACCTAATTTTGAGTAAAAAGAACACAGCCCTAGCAGTATTCTTAAGCCAGAAGGATTTTTTAAATCACTGAATTAAATTTATATCTCTCCTGTTCACCAACTTGTACTGAAGGCAGCTAATATCAGTAATGCACGTGCAAGAAAATACAGTACATTTGACATGCATCACACATCTGAACCATGTGTGGGGTTGGGTATGGGCCTTTTTTACCATCTCCTTTTTCACATTTATTATTCTTCTATGCACTGTGCATACAAGAAATGAGGAAGCTTTTAATGTTTCTTGAAATGAAAACATGAAAATC